AGAAGGGGAATAAGGGTGGAAAATAGTACAGTAAGCTATTTTGAAAGAGAGACCACACACATGCACATAACTTTGATTATTGTATATTATTATGACTGTTGTATTCATAATGTTAGAAATTGTTGTTAGTCTCTTACTCCATGTAATTTATAAATTAAACTTTATCATAGGTACATGTCTATAGAAAAAACATAGTACCTGTGAAGTTCTGTGCTCTCCATGGTTTCAGACCCCTGAGGGTCTTTGAGCAGAACCCCTGTAGATAACAGGGAATTGTTATAGAGTCTTTGGAGAGGAAATCAGGTTGAGAATGTGGTGGGCCCCTTGTCCAATGCAACTGGTGTCCTTGTAATGAATGGAGACGTACAGGGAGCATACTAGGTGAGTACAGCAGCAGAAGTAAGTTAGTGATACAGCTGCAAGCTGAGGGGTGCCAAGGATCAACAAACCCACCAGAATCTAGGAAGAAACCACGACTCTTTCTGTCCAGCCATGGTCCTGCCAGTACCCTCATTTCAGACTTAACAGTCTCCAGAATAGTGAAGAACAGATTTCTGTTGTTTAAGCCACATTGTTATGGCAGTCTTACCATACTAATTGTGGGTTCCTACTATATATTGGATATTATGCTAGATGTGGGGGCTAGAGCCTGCCCCTCACTTAGCCAGTCTTTAATCGCAGATTATAGAGGACCTGGGAGATAGCAAGAATCATGAGCTCGAAGTGTAGTGAAGGGAAACAGGAGCACAAATAACACCAATAGTAATAAACAGTGCTGTTGTTGACCCTTATCAAATCAAGGTATTTTTCCAAGCACCTGAGTAGATGCCTGAACCACAAGTCATTGGGTTTGAACCCTGTGTATTTTGTGGTTGCTTTTCTTCCTGTGCAAGCAAGTATAACTACTGTAAGAGTTCATATTTAAAGGAAGCATTTTAAAAGCTTCTCTTTGACATATATGAGTTACCAGCATTACTATTCTTGTGCTTTGAAGCCATTAATAATTTAAAGAAGGTCACTTGAACAGAAGTACTGTGATAACGGTGCCAGTCAATATAGTAACTGAGCCTTCTCCAAGGTGACTACCAGGCAGATGGTATATACAGTGTACATATGCTGAGTGAGACAGAATAGGGTGGCAGAGGGTTTCATCATACTGGTAAGGAGGGTGTACAATCTGCCTCTTTATATTTTCAGGTCACAGTTGGCCATAGGCGACTACAACTGGAAAACACAACTGGCTAAGGGGTTGAGAGTATGATGAAAAAAAATACTGCAGGGAATAGACATTATGGGAGTCATTATAAATTGAAATCAGGTAGTGGAAGTTTCCTGGAGAAGGTGCTGTTTAAGCTAGTGCAGGTTCTCAACCCTGGCTACATAGTAAGACTACCAGGTGAGCTTCAAATAAAAACAAAACAGAGCAGATAATGATCAATGGCTCAGCCCCAACCTTGACTGATGAGGTCAGAATCACAGGGGCCTCTCCATAGATGGTCTCCCCAGGGGACACTAAAAACACCAGGATGTAGGCCTAAGGACCTTTTGTCTCGTGTAATACCTGTGGTAGAGAAAAGAGCTCACACAGCTGGTGAGGTCATCTGTAGACAGTGATCACAGGCCTGAACATCGCAGTGTTTGTCCTTCCTAGGTGGCTTAGTGAGCTCAGAGCTCAGAGAAGCCTCCGGATCCATACATGCCTCATGTTTCTCTGGCCAACCCTTGTTCCACCTCTTCTGCTGTGCTTGGTACAGGGGGTTATCTGTCTCAGTAGCAGTCCTGCCTTTGCTCTTTCTACCATTGGAGGCTCGACAACCACAAAGCCAGGTTTTTGCTGGGTATCCTCAGGTTGGCGCGGCTATTGAGCCTGGTGTATAGCCTGGTGTCTGGCAACCTTGCATTTGAAGTACTGAAGCTAGACGTTAGCCTAAGGGACAGACACTTGCTGACTGGGTTTCTTGGCTCACGTGCAGCTGATCTTGATCCTACCTTGGTTTTGATTTCCCGAGAGATGAACAATTTCCAGGAAATTATATAACAGGTACTTTTACAGAGACTGGGAGGAGAGATCTCCTTGTCCCCAGGTAGATTGGGGTGGTCATCTGAGACACATGGAGAAGGGGGGCCAGATTGGAGGCGTACACTGTTGCTCCAGCATACTCAGGTGTCATAACATAGCTTCTCTCCAGGCAGGGCAGAAAGCTCATCCTCCAGGCGTCATAGGCCTCAGAACTCACGCCTCTCATCTCTCAGACCACACCATGGAGCTCTGGTCTCTCTGGAGCAGGCTTCTTAGCCCTTTGACTGTTTTAGAAGGTGTCTCCTGTACTCCTCCTCTTCCCTTCTTGTGCTCTTATTTGTAGCACCCTTCATACCTGTCCTATCCCCTCATTCTCTCTGCTCTCTCTCCTGTAGTTGTCTCTGGTCTAGACAGGGACTGGATCGCTGGGCACTCAGGTATGAACTCAGCTCCTGTGTTTGTCCTGGGGGGTGGACCGCCTGGCCCAAATCCCTGATATGTTCCCTGGGGGCTCTGCCTCTTTCTGTCTGGTGGTTTAGTTTGTTGTCTGGTGAGCTCTGGAGAATGACCTGTCTCAGCAGGGCCACAGCAGCCTGGCCTAGGCCCACCTGCGGCCCACCTGTATATCTGTGCTTTTCTCTGTTCCATAGTCAGTGCCAGGGTGAAGGGTCACAGTATGGGACATTTCACTTAATCTGGCTGAGGAGCTGACAACAGTATAGTACATACTGGCTCTACCCCTGGCGTTTGGGTTCAGTTGCCTATGTAGTCTTACACTCGTGACTCAACCTCTCTGTGCTTTCATTTTCTCACTGTAAAAGGATACTGAGCTCAGGGAGTGGTTATGAGGCATAAGTGGGTTCATACATGTTAGGATCAGAAAGCAGCGCACTTTCGCATACAGGTTTTATTGTAGTCCAAGTATGTGAGGCTGACGGATGAGGAGACAATTACTCTTGAAAAGATTGTTACAGTTCCCACGAGGAGAGACCTCTCTGGCCACACAGGCCAGGGACAGCCAGAAGGCAGCAAAGGAAGGAATAAATCGGAGGGAGTAAATTTATTGTGCTCCCTTGGGAAGGAATGGCTGGCCAGTTTGAATGATTGGGGTGGATGAGGTACCTCTCCTACAGGGGCACTGGTTCAGCACTGTTCACTACCTCTGACAGCAGGGCCTTGGGTGATACAACACAGACTAAAAAGACTTGTCAAGGGCTGGGAAGATGGCTCAGTGGTAGAGCGCTTGCCTTGCATGCCTGAGGCCCTGGGTTCCATTCCTCAGCACCACATAAGCAAAAACAAAAAAGCCGGAAGTGGCGCTGTGGCTCAAGTGGGAGAGCGCTAGCCTTGAGCTGAAGAGCTGAGGGACAGCACCCAGGCCCAGAGTTCAGGCTCCACGACCGGACCAAAAAAAAAAAAAAAAAAGACTTGTCAAACGCTGACCATCCCCACCCTCCCCACCCCCCACAGGATGTAGTGTTTCAGTCAAAGCAGAGGTATTAATAGTAACTTTGTGGTGATACATATGTTAATTAGCTCAATTTGGTCAGTTTACATTATATTAATAATTTGCTGATGTGCAATAAAAAGATAAAGATTCAACTTAATGTACCATCACATTTTTAGGATATAATGGCTTAATAGACTCAGTTCTTATTCTTAACTTTAAAAATAAGGCCATGGATCCTGGAGCCTCAGGAGTCCTGAGGCTCACTAGGAAGTGCTCAGGCTCGGCAGAGCTCCTTGCGCTGCTCTCTGTCTTCCCCTGTGAGGCCTACTCCCTGCGCTGTGAGCTGGGGACATAAGTCCCTCACTCGGTAGGATGACATGGCAGAGGCTCGCAGCTCACTGCCAGCATCATTTCAGCAGTGAAGTTTAATACATTTTTGTTTTCCAAGAAGAAGAAGGGGAAGGAAGGAGAGTGCAAACAATCACCACCAACCAACACTGAAATCTATGGGTATAAGGAGTCCTTATACCCATAAATTCTGGCTTCATGGTCTTTTCAATGGAAACACCTAAAGGACAAGCTGGAGAGATCCAGGCAGCTGGATCCTATGCTAATGCACCTGGATGGTGAGGCCAGAGGCACTGGTGGATGAGTTGCAGGCTTTCAGATGCCAGTTGTGGGGGTGGTGGTGGTATCTTTTCTCTCCTTCCTGCTTTTGGGGTCCCCTGGGGGTTGGGTTCTCTTCTCTGTGGGACAGGAAAGTGAGATCTTCTTGGGACTGAGGTGCCCTCCAGAGCACGTACATCAAGTGCCCTCATCTCCAGGCACATTGCCAATTGGAACAGATGCCAATAGAGGAGTGTTGAGAGGCTGCTTGGAATTAGGGGAAGTGGGAGGCTCAAAGAGCATACACCCGGACCCCTTCTGCCTCCTGCCCTCTTGATTAGACGTGAGGGTACAGTGAGGATTTGGGTAGAACAGGAGCAGGGCTCCCAGCTAGCAGGCCAGGCCAACATCTCCAAAGTGTGGGCCTCTGTCAGCTCCCCAGCAGCTGTTTGAGGTCTCTAAGGATGCTTGCTGACCACAGCCCCCCTAAGGCTTGAGCTGCCTAAGCTGGATCCTGGCTGCATCCATTACTTTTTCCTTCCTTGTAGAAGCCCATCCTCATCTGTTTAGGCTGATGTAACGGAACACCTGACTGGGTGTAAACAGCCTATTAAGGCTCATAGTTCTAGAGGCTGGAAGCCTGAGATCAGAGAGCCAGCTGGTTCTGTTGAGGGTTCTCTTACAGGTTTTACGTATGCATCTCATCGTGCCACGGCAGAGAGCAGAGAACCAGGTTGTAAGCTCTTGGGTTTCTTCTTTCTTATCACTCCATTGGTGAGGGCTCCACCCTCACAATCTTATCACCTTGCGAAGGTCCCACCTTCACACATGGGCACTGGGACAACACCGTCACATTTCCATTGGGATTTACTGTGTGCATTTGAAGGCTACAGCAGGGTCTCGCTTTGCCACCTGTCTCCCCAGCATCCTTTTTGCCGACATCGAGGGGTTCACCAGTCTGGCATCCCAGTGCACTGCTCAGGAGCTGGTCATGACTCTCAATGAGCTCTTCGCCCGCTTTGACAAGCTGGCCGCGGTGAGTCACCCTGAGCCGGGGCCCGAGGGTGGTCAGTCTGGGCTGTTGAGGGAGGGACCTGATATCAAGGATCTGCTGACCTCCTGGGATGGGCACAGGCCAGGGTGCCAGTTCTGCTGGGCAGAATTTGCCCTTGGGAACGGATGGCAGGCAGAGGGGCAACCTGGGCTGCAGGCGTGTACCCTTACACCGGGCATCAGCTGTGTGTGGCATCAGCCACACAATCAGAGCTGCTTTCCCCTCCACAGAGGGGACGGGAAAACTCTCCTCATCTCAGTGTATGTAAGGGGGTGGCAAGACCTGCCTGCGGGTCCTATTACCGAGATTCCCCCACATAGTTTCTGTTTGGGGCAAATCAGATACGTGTCTTTTGAGGTTCTCCAGAGAGATAGGAGAACATGTGCCATCCCTGGAGGTTCTCCAATGTTTGGATAAAATGCAAACAACAGCAGGAAGAGGTGAATGACACACTCATAAATTGGCAATCTGCAATGAGCACTCTTACACCATCATCCTTCCCTGGCCTACGCTTTTACAGAACCATTCTAAGTGGCAACTTAGTACAATGTCCACTGGCTCATAAACAGGACTCCAGGCCAAACTTTAGATAAGAGGTTGGTGTGGTTGGGGGCCGTTCAGAACCTCTGCAAGCATTGGTAGTGGTTTTACACCACTGGGCTTTGCGCTAAGTGCATAGGCCATGCTCATCCCCTGGGAGTTGAATGGGTCTCTAAAGAGTTGAGGCCACACAGACACTTAAGTCCCAGAGTTTCAGCTTCATGGCAGAGCGTGGCAGCTCATAATTGCTGATTAATGACAGCCCATCCGACTCCCAGCAATGGATTGACGGTGGCCTGCCAGCATCCCTGCAACTCCTTCACCCAGCAAGGAACAGTGGCAGGTGCTGCAGCTCAGTTGGCTTCTTGGCACTCATGTGCTTACCGGTTTAGCAGAACAATGTTAAAAGTCTCAGACAGACCAAGAGCCAAGGGAAGTTTAGTTCAAGCTTATTTGTGCCTGCTTCAGTCTTTTTGTTTAACAAGAAAAATAAAACCACCCATAGAATCTTGGCCCAAGAGTCAGAGTTCACTCCTAGAGCATAGATCAGGACCAGGGATGCTCCCCCTATGCCTGAAGCCTCCCCTAACCCGCTGGTATGGCTTTCCTAGTTAGTGAGGGCAGTGGACCAGCCAACTGTTCAGCAGTGGTTCATAACAGTGAGTTCCTTGGCTTGGCTACAGTGCTTCCCTGTGGGCTGCTTAGCCTGCCCCCTCAGCCCACCACCCAGTCCTGCCCTCCTTATAAGCCTGGCTGGGGCCAGACAAAAGTTCCAGTACTGACTGCATTTACCACCCTATAAAGCAAGGTACTGCAGCATGGGGTGAATCTGTTAGCTGCCCATTTCCTTCTCTCTCACTCCCTCTCTCACCGTTTTTAATTTTTAATGTGAATTTACTTTGCAGGAGAATCACTGTTTACGGATTAAGATCCTGGGGGATTGCTACTACTGTGTCTCCGGGCTGCCTGAAGCCAGGGCTGACCATGCCCACTGCTGTGTGGAGATGGGCATGGATATGATCGAGGCTATCTCGTAAGTGCCCACCTCAGCATGCTGTCCACTCCAGAGGACTGCCCACAGCTGGACCTAATGACTGACCAGCCAAAAGACTGATGAAGACAGAACTGATCATGTGGGTGGGAGAGGCTTGGCCTGTTGCTCTATGCCACATACTTCATATGGACACTACAAAGCAAGAGAGACAAAGTATTATGAGGAGGGCATTGCTACAGTAAAAGCATTAACCGAGTAGATCCCAGGAGAAATGATGGATGACCTGAGTGTTCCTCTCTCTGGTAGGGTGAGGTGGAGGGCACACGGCAAGTCAGATTACTGCTCCTGTAAGTTGGCTGAGTTTGCATCTATGCTCAGGTTGTGAGGAAGGGCTGGTCCCCCAAAAGTGAAAACGACTTGCATTCACATGCCCCCAGCACCCACACCCTCTTCTACAGACCATGGGCAGCCTGTGAGTCCCAGGTGCAGCTGTTTAGGTTCCCTCCTGCTCTGCAGCTCCCTTCCCCGATATGGGAGGCAATACATAGAGGACTCTTCCCATCTTCTGTGGATCCTTGAGCACATGGTGCATGTAGCAGGCTTAGAGGCTGCCCTATAGGACACAGAGTACCCTTAGACCCCTGTCCCTACCCGGGCTCCCCTTTTCTCCTAATCAGGGCACGTATCCTCCCCTAAAACCCAGGTAACCACCTTTCTCCAGCCTCCTCCTAATGTTGAAGAATCAGCAACTTGGATCAACCCAATAAATAGATAATCCAAAATCCACTTTTGTCTTACCCCAAAAGCATTATGATTGGGTTTTGAAGTGACTGTTAGATCCCAGTTGGCACTAAAGAACCCCTATATTTGTGTGAATGTAGTCTAATTGACTATGGGTAGCAATAGCAGAGAGAGAGAGAGAGAGAGAGAGAGAGAGAGAGAGAGTGTTGGTTTTAGTGTGCAATACCCCGCCACCTTGTGGCCAAGATCAGGAACAGCACTTCTTAGGTTAGTGAACCTGAGCAGCTCTGAGCACTTGTGCAGTCCCATCCCTCAGTCTTCTTCGGATTGAACATCTCACACTCTAGGCCAGATCAGAGAGAAATGCCTTTTTGACCCTAACACCTTCCCATTCCTCCCACCCTCAGCTACACCTTCCAGCCTCATTTCTACTCTGTGTGCCTGGCCCCTGACCCTCTCCCAGCCTTACCCCTGCTCCATCCCCAGGTTGGTCCGGGAAGTGACAGGGGTGAACGTGAACATGCGCGTGGGAATTCACAGCGGGAGAGTACACTGCGGTGTCCTTGGTCTCAGGAAGTGGCAGTTCGACGTCTGGTCTAACGACGTCACGCTGGCCAACCACATGGAGGCTGGTGGCAAGGCTGGGTAAGTAAAGGCTGGGAGCTCAATGTCCAACTCTTCAATCTGTGGGAGAAAAAAGGAGAAGGAAGGGAGGATTTTCTTCAACTCAGCAAATCATTTAGCTCACCCCATAGGCAATATGTGGAGAGGTATCTTTTTTTGTTGTTGTTTTGTGTGTGTGGTACTGAGAAATCAAACCCAGGGCTTCATGCATGCTAGGCAAGCACTCTACCACTAAGCCACATTCCCAGCCCCCAAGAGGTGTCTTATTTGAGATGTAATAGAATCACCTTCAGAACAGAGACTAATTCTCAGTGGCCAGGTGAAGCGTCAGCTATCCTGGGTAACTGGGCAGGGTTGGAACAGATGAGAAAAGTTGAGGTAGGGAGAGCTTGGGGCTGAGGGACTAAGCAAAGATGAGTCCCAGGTGTGGGAAGACCCATTATTTCTAAACACTGAAAGGAGAGCAGATGGTCTTTTAAGGACAACTAGGAGAAACAGGGCATGGATACCAAGCTGGGAAGATTTGGGCTCAGACCTGTAGTCACTGTAAGCCATTTCTGACTTTTGAGTAGGAATGAGGTTTGTAGGACTGGAGGACATGTTCTCTAGGCAATGGAGATAGGACCCATGCTAGGTGGAGTGTGAAATTATGTGTTGATGTTTGCTGGAACTTGGCCTTTAAGTGCTGTGTTGACAGAAGTTGGGGTATACATCTGAGCCTGAGTTTTGGGGCCTGGGATTTGCATTGGGGTTTTATCAGAGTTGCAGTGTTGTTTTGAATTGGAGCATGAGTGGTGAGTTCACATTTTCTGCCCTTCCCGCCTACAGACGCATCCACATCACCAAAGCCACACTCAACTATCTGAATGGGGACTACGAGGTGGAGCCAGGCTGTGGGGGCGAGCGCAACGCCTACCTCAAGGAACACAGTATTGAGACCTTCCTCATCCTGCGCTGCACTCAGAAGCGGGTCTGTAGGCCAGGGCCTGGGAGCCAGCAGCCCGTTCATTTCCAGAGGGATGTTTTCATTTTAATGGCTGGTTGCTTCCTTCTCTTCTTCCTCTTTCCTTGAGCAAAGTCACAAATTCCTTATGTAGTAGTGGCTTCTGCAGGATTGAGTCAGGCCCTGCAAAGGCTGGTAGCAAAAGGGGAACATTTGTCTCTTGCTCAACTGCAGCAAGCCTCAGTTCAGAAGGCTACAGGATGGAGCGGAAGCAGCAGGTGTTCTTTATATCTCCTCCTGTCTTTTACCAAAGGGATATTTCTCTCTCTCTCTCTTCCTCACTCTCTCTTATTCTCATAATTACTACCTCACTCTGTCTAGCTCTTTCTTACTCTCATTATCGTTCTGTTGGACAAACCTGTGTCAACCTCAACCCTCATCTATGTCTTTGATTCTTGAAACTGTCTTTTCCTCTTTTTACTTTCTTGTCTCTTTCTTTTACCCTTTTCTGTCCCAGCCCACATTTGCCAGAATATGAAACTGAATTATTAGCAGGCTTCTGGATTCTATTTTTAAATAGGGTCACGTTTCACATTCTTCATTTTTAAAACAAATGAACATTTTCTATTCTCTCTACATTAAAATACCTGATACTTCTCACTGAGCTGATGCTCTGTGGGTCGGTGCCCTTTGGTGGAGAAAGACTTCCTGGTTCTTTTCTTCAGGAGTTAGACTGGAAACACTGTAGATGTGAGAACAGCACAGCAGCACCTGATTTTCAAGGGGAAGCAGAGCTGACAGAGCAGTGCCCCCCTGTGAGGGACAGGAAAGGAGCACCTTGCTCTGCGTACCCCTCTGGCCTTTGTAGGGGCTGCACCAGACTCATTCACTCCCTGCAGAAAAGAGCTATGGGAGAATTCAGGGCGCTTTGAGGACAGCCTCTCAGGACATCACAGACACATTTGTAAACATTTGCTGGTTTCTTGTCCAGAGTACAGATGAACTGATGCTTCTCATGTCCTTCCCACATTCTTGTTTCGGCTTCTGGTCCACAGGGCCTCCAGCCTTTCTTCCTACTGTGGGTTCTTCTAGTTGATAAATGGCCCAGAGGAGATGAAGTAGAGGCAGACAGATGGAGAGAGTGACAACCCCATCCCACAGTGTTCGCTGGAACACACTGAGTGGCCCCCAGCCCCTCATCCAGCAAGGAGGTAGTTGAGGAAAGGGCTACCTCAGGCCTCCCCTAACCCTTTACCTCTGATGCTCACTTGGGAGAATAGACAGGCAGGAGGCAGACATGCCAGGGCGAGTACTGCAGCTGGTGGAGGCTCTATTTGTACAGTCATGTCCAATCTGAATCTTGGGATTCAGTGACCCAAACTTCTCTTGGAGCAGAGGCACATCCTACTGTCTTCTGCTAGAAATTGCCTAGGGGAGAAGTTAGGTGGAGTCTGGAGTCCCAAAGGTTCTCTCCTTCAGTCTTGCCCTGAACACCTTCAGCCCCAGGTTCTGTTCCTCCCTGAGGCTGTACACAGAGACATCCCTTGTCCTGAATCCCCATTCCAATGAGCAGAGCCTCATAATTGACAGGGTGAGAGGCCTAGAAGTCAGCTGGCGTGGCTCATCCCTCCTACAGTGCCCCCAGAGCAGAAGAGAGGAAGCAGCCATGCATCCACTAAGCCTGTGGAGAGGGAAGGATATGAAATTAGTTTTGAGGGGCTTCAGGATAGAATTTTGTTGTCTGACTTAAAGAGAGAACACCTTACAAACAACCCCTTTCTCACAAGACCACTTTTTACTGTCCATTGGGACAGTCCCGGCTGGCATAGGAGTTTGGGGTGTCTGAGATGCTAGTGTTTGAGAGCTCTAGGATCCTGACAGTCCTTGGGCTGTGTGCAGAAGGAGGGGAAATGCCTCTAACTCTGCTTGGTTGAGTATGTATTCCCGGGAGGAGTGAGGATCTCCCTACACACAGTTCCCAATGGGCCTATTTACAGGCTGATGCTTTTGGGTCACTTTTCAGAAAGAAGAAAAGGCCATGATCGCTAAGATGAACCGCCAGAGAACCAACTCCATTGGGCACAACCCTCCACACTGGGGCGCTGAGCGCCCCTTCTACAACCACCTGGGTGGCAACCAGGTGTCCAAGGAGATGAAGCGGATGGTGAGTGGCAGGCATGGTGTGCTTGTGTGCAGTGGGCCTGCGTCTTCTGTGGGTTTGAGGGCTAATCCAGCCCCTGAAGTTGCTAAAGGAAATCTGGGGAGCCATACAAAAAGAAAGTGCAGTCCACTTCACTTCAAACCAGGAGCTAGAGTACCTGACCTGGGCCTAGGCATGCTACATGGCTCCTACCACTTTGTGGAATGCTAAATTTGACCTAGGGCCAAGCATCCATATCGTCTTGTAAGCTAGGAGCAGGGCCTTTTCACAAGACTTAGAGTCCTCTCAGGGCCTCTAGGTATCCCCTAGGGAGCTGGATGGACTGTGATTTGACAGCCCTCCTCTAGTACCTACGCATTTCCAAGACAATTAAAATCACATCTTTGGCTCAGTTACTTTGGAATGATCCCAAGGCTTTCTGGCAGGGGCCTGGTGACAACCCCCTTTACCCTTTGCTGAGAAACTACCTTGTCCTGGCTAGCACCAGTCTTCCAGTAGGCGCATACATCTAAGCCATGAAGGGCTGTCGCCTCTACCTCAAGGCACGCTGCCTGCTTTAGGGACAAGTGCCCCAGCAGCCACTGCACATAACCATGACAAGCTGGTTCAGGACAAACTCTTGGACACTTGTGGCAATGACGGGAAGATGGCCTTGAATAGTGGGAAGAAGAGGAAGAGGATGACAGGAAGCCAGATAACAACAGTGTTTATTCCCTGTCAAGAACTTGGTGACACCACTCATGTGAAGGCACCTGGCTCCCAGGTGGAGTTGTCCACACTAAGGGCAGGTTGGGGAGGGTTGGTGCCAGGACTCAGCTGTGTGGACACTTTGTAGATCAAACCAGAGGGGATGAAAGAGGGACCTTTGGGACTTCAGTAGATAGCCTATGAGTCTGAAAGGGGATGGACCGGGGATTGAGTCACTCCCTATTTTTGCTAACAAGTAGCAGATTAGTTAAGTGTGGGGAGGAAAATGAGCCAAGTTCAGAACTCCATTGAAGATCTTGATGGTAGTTAAGATGTTCAAGGGACTCATATTACAAGGGAGAAGATAGGAGAAGCCCAACCTTCCTCCAGGACTTAGAGGTCCACAAACCTTGTCAGTACCAACTGACCACTCCTTTCCCCAAAGCAGAGCTGCTGGCCAGCACTCCTGGTTACCTTCACAGTACTTAGTTCTCCCCCACTCTTTTTCTTGGTGTACTAAGGTTTGAATGCAGGGTCTCAAGCTTGCTAGGCAGGTGCTGTATCACTTGAGCCATAGCCCCTTTGTGCTTTATTTACCTTTGGAATAGGCTCTTGCTTTTACACCTGGGTCAGGCTCTGGACTCTGATCCTCTTGTTTTTTTCTTTCCATATAGCTAACATGACAAGCATACACAACCACACCCAGATATTGATTGAAATAGGGTCTTTCTTTTTACCCAGATTGGCCTCAAACCACAGTCCTTCTGATCTCCAAGTCCCGAGTAGCTATTATAGGCATGAATCATTGTGCCAGGCTACCACTTCAGCTCTTTAATAATCCCTTGTAAACTCTATACCTACATGACTAAGGTGGTCAAGAGGAGGACAGGAAGAAAGGGGGAGGGGGAGGGAACTAGAGAAATGGAGTGGTGAAGAGATGGGGAGGAATAGGAGGCCAAGAAGTAGAAAGGAGGGAGAATGGAGCAGCTAGAAAGCAGGAAAGGGGCCTGGAATAAATCATGGTCTCTCCTGCAAATTCTTGGGAAGTTGTTTTTCAGTGACATTGGTATAAACTGTATCTTCATTTCTTTCTGAGTCTTAAAGGAGGTAGTTTTTTGGCTATGAGCACTAGCTTGTCAGGTATGTTGGTCATTCCAAGGAGCCTTGGAAGAATCAGCAAGTTCTGGGAGTAGGGTTCAGGAGAGTCTCCGAAGGAGACTACTGCTGCTGTGAGTCGAGGGTTAGGCCCAGTCTTGCTGCTGCAGGGTGTTGATTGCTTTAACTGCAGGGAAGGAGAGTGTGTAGAACAGGTCTCCCCACAGCTTGTGGCTCCCAGTCCTAATGAGGACCATGCCCCCTGAGGACACTGCCATCAAAGCCCAGCCTCCCGAACCCGGCTCATGTTTTCTCTAGTATGTGGATTTTAGACCTAAACAATGAATATATACATAAACACATATGTGTATATAAAAAGAGAATATCGTAATCCTGTGACTGTGTGAGGGATAAGCTCAGGAGGTGGGGGAGAAAAACAGAAAGTAAAAAATACTGAAATACACTGCATCTGTGAGTGAGGAAACTTACTGTACACAGTTGGATACTAGAGGGTAGAGAGATAGGGTAAGAGAAGGCAGATAAGGGGGTCAATCTGATTAAAGTATGTATGTACACATGGAAATACCATAGTGAAATCCTTGCAGCATTAGCATACACTAAAAAAAGAATGACAGGAATCTAAAACAGGTCATGTCCAGGTTGTGTGCACTCGTAGGGTGGCCAAAATACTTTATGTGCATGTGTGAAAATGGAACAAAGAAGCATGTTGAGACTGGTTTGGAAAAAGGGCCATGAAGGGAGCGAGTCTAACCAAGGTACATTGTATGCATTTGTGTACCTGTCGAGATGAAACCCCCTTGGACAACTAAGTGACGTTCATAAGAACAAAGAAGTCCAGCCTCCTCCCCTCCCCCACAGCCCAGCAGGCCCACTGGGAGTCTCTAGACCAAAGATGGACACAGAAGTGGCTTTGAAGACTGTTGACTTTTAATGTTCAACTTGCCAGAAATCTTTGAGCAAAGGTTTCTTTAAAAACAACAACAACAACAACAAAAATTGGCCTGTTGAGGGAGGATGCAAATTGGATGCAGGAGTAGCAAGCAAAATGGCTGGAAAGGTACTGACTCCTCAGTAGTGCCATTAGGTTAAATTGTTATCTGAATTTGACTCTGCTTTTGAAGTGCTGTGACTAGCTGGGCTTGTCAGGTCTTTAAGTTCTGTGACTAATAGAAGGCCGCTGGTGGGAAGCCTGGGGATTGAACTCATGCAACCAAGCCCAGGAAAACTGCATGTCCTCGGTCTGCTGGGACCTGCAGGCAAGGAGAGGTGATAGGACCCTTGTCCTGTCACTAGTGAGCAGAGGTGGGATTGCACCCAGACGGCTGGACTATGGCTATTTTGTTCTGTTCTTTTTGCTTCTGCTGTGTCAGGGAAGGAACTAGCCTCACACTTGTTAGGGAAGTGCTTGACCACTGAGCCATGCCCCTGCCCCTGACTGCGTTCCTAATGATGCCACTGCAGTGGTTTATGGACTAAGGCATTTTCTTCTCTTTTACTAATGTACCATCCTAACCCAATACCGTGATCTCCACACTAACACAGCAGCTGAGTGCTGAGAAAGGCCCTGTCCCCTGCCTAGTGCAGGAGAGAGGTAGGGGCCACACCCACCTCAGGGGATGACCAAGGGAGCATTGGAGAAAGCGGGGAACAAGCTAATTATTATTCTAGTTATGTCAATTGACAGTACTAGAAATTGAACTCAGAGCATCACTCTTGCTAGGCAGGTTCTCTACCGTTGAACCTTATCTCCAGTCCCTTTCACATTGGGTTATTTTGGAGACAAGGTTTCACTTTATGCCTGGGCTAAGCTGTGATCTTCTCACTTGTGCTTATTGGTATAGCTGGGGTCAACACACATGCCCAGGCATTGGTTGAGATGGAGTTGTGAGAACTTCTTTTTATCCAGGCTGGCCTCAAACCAAGGTACCCCAATTTCTGCCTCCCAGATATCTAGGATTACAAGCTTGAGGCACCATGCCTTGGCTGGGAACAGGCTTATTGAAAACACTTGGGACTCTTTTTGAGCTGGAGAGATAGGCATGTGTAGTACAGCCTGATTGTTCTCAGTTGCATAGAAAACTTGTTGCCAGCTCAAGGGACAGGTTTCAGTGGGTCAGTGCCTGATGGCCGTGCTCTGCAGAGAGCTTGCTTATCAGGTTCTCTGCTGCCAGTCATGCTGTGCTATGAAGAGTTCTGAGAACATCAGGCAGAACACTCATCTAGGGCTGGGAAGGCCAACTGGGACAGGTTCTCAGAGGACAAGGACAAGGAGAAGGCTCCGACTTGCCTGGGTATGCAGATATCCAGTCAGCCATCCTGGACTGGGTGCTGGCACATAACAAATTGTTGGTCACTTAAATGGAGTCCTGGAGGCTGACAAGGCTGTAGGAGTCCCCAGCAGGGACAGAACTGAGGTAGAGCGCTTCAATGCCATGTGGACACCATGTTGTCTCAGCACCAGGTGGCTTTGACTAGGGGAAAAAGTTGTTCTGGTTTTGTGTTGCTAGACCAGATCTTCATGGGGGACAGAAAGACATGAATCCACTTGAACTCCTCATCACTTAGCACTTGCCAAACTACTTGTTTGTCCACCAGTGCCCCACACTGGCCACGGATATGGAGTCCATCCTTGTCCTTGTCCTGGCCACCCACCTTCCCACTTCCTCCTGGAGTCTATCCCCTTCTCCCCTTGGGACTCTGTTCTACCACAGCAGCTCAGAACTAGCACACATCTCCCCTTTTGTGGGAGTCACAGATTAACTCTGTAAGTAGGGCTTTGTGGTTGGTGAACGAGGAGCAGTAAGGATCCTGCCCCTTCCAAATCTGCCCATGAAATGAACAACAGAGCAGCACCCACACTGTGTAGATGGGTTCTGACCCCCGAGTCCTCATACTACTCAAATGTGTTACACAAATGTGTTAACCTCTCAGGTAACCAAAAAGCTGGTGCAGGTCACTGGAGCTGATTTTTTAAGTATGAAGCTTGTGAACTTCTGTAGGTTTTTGTATGCTCGGTGTGTGTGTGTGTGTGTGTGTGTGTGTGTGTGAACAGCTCAGTAATCTCTGATGAGAGTGGGTGGCAGAATTGGGAGGGGACCCTCTAAAATCTATGAGCCAAGAAGAAGGGGAGTTCAGAGGGTGTGGTGGGAGTCAAGCATGGGCAGAAAACATGTAGACTCATGGACTTTGCAAGAAAAAAGAATGAAATCACAGTGCACAGAGCCTTAGGAAGGATCCCAGTGTGTTTGAGAAGTGAAGAGAGGAAGGGATCTCACAGCCCTGTGTCCAGTGCCTTGGTCCACAGCAGAGAGCAATGAGCCGCTGCCTGGCAGGCCTGCCAGCCCCACTCTGGAGCCTGATGCTCATGATGTGCCCTGTCTTCACACTCTTCTCTCTCTCTCTGTCCTTCTCTTCTAGGGCTTTGAAGACCCCAAGGACAAGTGAGTAATATGCCCCTCTTCTTTGCCTCCCCCATCCAGCAGCCAACAGCTCCCCCATGTTCCCATGGAACACGATCCCACAGACATTCTGAGCTGAGTGACAGGAGCTCCTGGCTATGTCTGTGTGCCCTTCATCCACCACTAGACATACACACTACACTGGTCATGTCTTCACTAGACACACACGTGCACACATATACAGCTTCTGGAAAATATACACCTTGCACATTCATCAGCAGGGCCAGATCACACCCAGTTCCTCCTCTTTCTCTCCCACTTTCTAGTTCTCAGGACTTTCAGAATATCCTCTTTAGCCTGTAATCCTAGCTACTCAGGAAGCAGAGCTCAGAGGATTGTGGTTTGAGGCCAGTCTGTTCATAAAAGTTGGTGAGATTTCATCTCAACCAGTGGGTGGGTACAGTGGTACACACCTGTCATCTCCAGAAACATGGGGAAGCACAAATAGGAAGATCAAAGCCCAGGTTGACCCAGGCATAAAGCAAGACCCCATATAATCAGTGCAAAGGGGGCTGGAGGTATGGCTCCAGTGGTAGAGTACCACAAGTATGAGGTCCTGAGTTCAATTCCTAATATCACCACACACAAAAAGAAGAAAAAGAAACAAGACCAAGCTCCAGCCTGAGAAATTGGGATTTTATGTTTAGTCCCCAAAGACCATAGAGCCTTCTTTCCCAAGAAGGACTAGAGCCTGGTTCAATAGACAGATGGATCTCAGTCCTGGAGGTGGGATTCTACCTTCCAGTCTCAACCTTAAGTTTCAGGATGAGGAAATCACTGGAGAGTCAGCAGAGACTGTTTGCTGTAGGAGGAAGCAATGAACATTCAGAATGAATCCACATACTAGAAGTCCATTCCCATTCTTCACTAGTAGGCCTGAGCCTCAGGTGGCTTTCTGTGCCTGTGCTGTTGTAAGAGCACAAGCTCCTGTTCCTGGCTTACTTGGCCCTAATCCCTGCTTTCCTCCCCAGGCCAGGGCTGACAGTGGCGGCCTCTAGGCCTCTCGGGTCAGTCCGGGTGACCATGTAACTGTACCATTCATGGCCAACCTGCTTATGTTATACTCCCTGCTCCCCAGGAATGCCCAGGAAAGTGCAAACCCCGAAGATGAAGTGGACGAATTTCTGGGCCGGGCCATCGATGCCAGGAGCATTGACAGGCTGCGATCTGAGCATGTCCGCAAGTTCCTGTTGACTTTCAGGGAGCCTGACTTAGAGAAGAAGGTATGGCACTGGGTGAGGGGCCACGGGGAGGACCAGGATGGCTTTCTCCTGCTCACCATCCTGGAAGTTGCTGCTCTTGTCAGTTTCCCACCTGTGAAGCTACACTATGGAAGGAGATGGAGGTCTAGGGAGACTTCCTTGGTTAGAAAGGACAAATCTTGACCATTCTGCACCTCGCTTTCCTTAGCTACCTCAGGATCAGAGTAAAGATTAAAGGAGGGCTCTCTGCATAAAGCACATTAAATGGGTAGGAGATTAAATACTGGTGTCATATTGGCCATCCAGCCTCTTGGGGCCCACCAGAAGCGCCAGGTGTTAATTTGGAAAGGGTAGTCAAGCTCTCTGTCCCATCCCCTAAGATTATGAATGAAAAAGCTCAAATTAAGGGCTTGGAGGTATGACTCAGTGGTAGAGCACCTGCTTAGTAAGTGCAAGGCCCTAAGTTGAAACCTCAGTACCACAAGAAAGGAAGGGAGGGAAGGAGGAAGGGAGGAATGCAGCTCAAGCTGGACTTAGTGGTATACACATGTAATGCAGCTATACTTGGGAGACGGAATCAGGAGGGTCACAACTCAGGCCCAGTTAACTGAGACTTTATCTGAATAGCGACAAAAGGCCTGGGTGCCTGGCTCAAGTGGTAGAGCACTAGTCTTGCAGAAGGCCCCGTGTTCAATCCTTAGTATAGTAAAAAGAAAGGAAAAGTAAGAAAGCAACCGCTGAGAGTGGTCAAGAAACTTGTTCTAGTGTAGTGGTGACAGAGCTGGGCCCTGGTTAGGTGGTTCCCTTTGTGTCATGTCTCAGAGTGTCATGTCCCCATGGTTAAATGGGGTTCTGTGCACTCAGGACAGCATTGACTGAGGCGAGCCCAATTAGTGGAGTAAAACCATGGTACAGGAAGTGGACCTGACTTACACATTACCTGCCAGGGTGACTGCCACAATTCCAGTTCCATGAGTAGTTGGTTAGTGTCATGAAGGAGCCCGGCTGGGGGTCACGGAAACTCTCAGGGCTGCAGTTTGCTCATTTCTGAAGTAGAAGTACCGACTGTCCTGTGCCACTTCCAGGCTGGTGTGAGGACAGTCCATAGTGACATAGCGTGCCAGTAATGTACAGCTGTGACACCAGCATCAAGTGTCCAGTACTCACAATTCCAGTCCCTCTCAGCCACGCTCCCACACACACTGCCTGCCATTTGGGCTGGTGGCCTGTACTCTTAAGTCAGCATGGCTCCCAGGTCTTCTCTATCCTGGAGTGGGGTGCCCCAGGGTAGCTGGACAGACCTGGTACCTTTGCCCTCACCCTATATGTCTCCCCTCAGTACTCCAAGCAGGTGGATGACCGATTTGGTGCCTATGTGGCATGTGCCTCGCTTGTCTTCCTCTTCATCTGCTTTGTCCAGATCACCATCATGCCCCAGTGAGTATCCTTGGCCCTCTGGGCTTCCTCTTCTGCTGTGGGGGTTCCCTGGGGTGGGAGGGTGGTGGTGTAGCAGAGTGGAGAAGGGAGTTTGGACTGAACCTGTTCAGGCTGGCAGGTGGGTTTTCCAAAGTTCCCTCTGTGAGACTTGGAGGCCAGGGGGTGTAACCTTGTACAGCAGGGAGAAAACTTCCCACTGGGCAGTGCCCTCTGCAGGGGACCCCTTTTCCTTACTTCATCAATGCATTGCATTGGAGCACATTTCCACTGCCCAGTGAATCACCCAAAGCGTCCATCTGCCAGGCTGGCTTCTCCGTGTCCTTTGGATCTTGCCAAACAAAATCGATACATATTCAAAAGATAAATGTTTTTCTCTTACTGTGGGTATGTTGAAAAATGGATTTCAGATTCCGTAGGCTTTTCAAGAAGAATTGCTCCTGAATTCTTCAGAAGACTGGCTGTGTCACTGTGACACAAAGACCACTTCTTGTAGGCAGTGGGGAAATCTGGGCATCCTGGCACATGCCTGTAATCACAGTTATTCAGAAAGTAGAAGAAGGCAGCTCAGGAGACCAAAGCCAGTTCTGATGAAAAAGTACACATTGTATCTGAAAAAAAAAAAAAAACAACTAAAGCCAATAGGGCTGAGGGTGTAACTAAATGGTAGAAGCTTTGCCTAGCAAGCCCAGGACCAAGTTCAAACCCCAGTACTGCCAAAAAGAAGGAAGAGGAGACAGAGGAAGAGGAAGGAGGCAGCAGAGATGGCAGCAGTTTGGGGGCTTTTGGAAATGGAGTTTAGTAAATAGTCATTCACACAAGTGCTCTAGATGTGTGTATGCATGTATGTGCATGTGCATGGATCCGTGCTTTTACTCTTCATTAAATCATTCAAACAGGCAGATGATCAATACCCAGCCTATAGATACAATTGTTAATATCTTTCAATATTCAGTTCATCGGTTATTGTTTTTTTAATTTCTAAAATTCAAGGATGGTTTTCCCCCTAAAAGCCTCAACAGGCACCTATTATAGGGACATTTTCCTCCCTAGTCACAAAACCTTCTACACCAAATGAAATTAATACATACCTTTTCCCTGCTGTAACCTAACATCCAGTCTATAGTCAGATTTCCTAATGTGTTCTACTCTTAATTTATAGCCCGAATCTATAGAAGATCCATTGCATGTGCTTCTGTCTTCTAAGCCTTGCTTCACCTAACGCATCCCACACCCAGCACCTATTTATCAATTGCAGACCCACTGAGGACTTGCAAAGATGCACAGACAGCTTCGTGTGCCTTTCACACGTCTTCCCTGGGTTGTTGACAATGCCGTGGCTGCAGTGCACGGATAAAGGGAGTGAAATGCTCGCTCAGCTGCACACCTGGTCTGACATCCTCACTTTCCCTTCACATTGCTGGGCTCCCACACTGCCTTCCTTTGTGCTTTCCAACCTAGGATAGGTAGTTGGTTCCTCAGCCTTGCTTGTCTTCCGATGCCTTTGGCCCTTTAATGAGCCCTGGACGGTTAATTGTGTACTGCTTTGATTTGGGTGTGTCTAGTGTTCTGATCAGAGTAGGGTTATGCATTTTGATGAAAGTTGCACAGTTCTTAATATATCTTACATCAAGACATGCCTTATTTATTATGCCTTATATGTTGATATGTCTTATTTATTTCTTTTTATGATTATTATCTTTTAAAAATTGTTATTGGGGGCTGGGAAGGTGGCTCAGTGGTAGAGTGCTTGCCTCGCATGCATGAGGCCCTGGGTTCGATTCCTCAGCACCGCATAAGCAGAAAAAAGCCACCACACAAGCAGAAAAAAGCTGGAAGTGGCACTCTGGCTCAAGTGGTAGGGAGCTAGCCTCGAGTTGAAGAGTTGAGGAACAGCATGACAGACAAAAAACAATGTTATTGTACAGAGGGGTTATGAGGACTATGATTACTATCTTTAAGTAAGTGTACAAAAGGATTTTAATTCGACAAATCAGTTTATGAATACATCTTGGTCAGTGTCACCTTTTCCATTGTTCTCCATCTTTCCCATACTTTTTTGTGTGTGTGCAGGTATGAGGGCCTAGGCATTGTCCTTGAGCTTTTTGGCTCAAGGCTAGTGTGTTCTGCCACTTGAACCACAGGCTACACTTCTGTGTGTGTGTGTGGTTAATTGTAGATAAGAGTCTCACAGACTTTTCTGCCTGGGCTGTCTTCAAACTGCAATCCTCAGATTTCAGCCTCTTCAGTAGCCTAGGATGACAGGCCTGAGCCACTAGTGCCCTGCTGCTGCTGCTCCTGCTCCTCCTCCTCTCCTCCTCCTCTTCCTCCTCCTCCTCCCTTTTTCTTTTCTTACCTAAGGGGAATCTTGAGATTCCCCTTATATGGGTATCTGCTGTTATTGTCAGGATACCGCAGGTGAAAACCATACACTAGCAGCTGGCTCCAGTGACTGCAGCTAAGACCATTGCCCTACACGGAGGCTATGCAGAGCTGGTGATATTGTGGGTCTTATTGACCCAGAACCTATGTTTCTGTATTGGAATGGTATAAATAGGAACCATAGGTATCAACAAGCAAGCTGTGCCTTTGTCCCATTGCAGTTGAGAGTCCCTTAGCTTGAGTGCCCAATCCTTCCTGTTTGCTACTTTTCTTTCTCTGCAGCATGGCTTGGGGGCTGGGCCATGCCAGGTCTCTGCCCTGTCTGCAGAAGCTTCATCCCCTCATCTGGCCCAAACTCCCCATGGCTAAGGCATTTCCAGAGGCCATTCTCTAGCCATCCCCTTTAGGGAAGACTTAAAAGCCCACTTCAAAGGTCTTTCTTTTCCTCTGAGGAGTCCTTTTCTCTTGCTGCATTTGTGAAGGCAGCTCAGTGATGTGTGTGTGGAAGCCAAGAACAAAAGCACTGTTGTCCCAGGAGTGTCCCCTCTGGCCCAGGTCCTCTGCTAGCCTACAGCTTGCCAGCAATGCTGGACATCCAGGCTACTCTCCTCCACCACAACCCAGCGGGATGGCAGGTGTACTGTTCTTTGGATAGTAATGGGCAAGAAAGGTCACTTCTCTAGTGCCTCCTGTGATTTGCCTTCAGAAGGAGAATCCAGGAAGAGGGGTTAAGAATCCAGTCCTTCTGAATACATATCTTACCCTCATTCTCAGAATGGCTGGCTGGACTCCTGATATGTATCTTTTTATACGTGTGGGCCTTCAAACCCATTTTCAGTCCTCTCAGTGACTTATCAAATCTTGAGTAACAATGTGGAGTGATAGATAACCAGGATATGTTCTTAAATTGATTCTCCCAGCTTGAATGGATAGTTCCTGTGAACAGCTCTATTGGTTAGGGGTCACCTGGGTTTCCTCCTGCTTCCATGTGGGCTGCTGTTCCCTCTACAAAGGTGGCCATGGGTGGAAGGGCAAGAGTAGACCGTCGTGGCTGTGTGACCCTTTCTCGGAGAACTATGGAAAGGTCCGAGCTGTGGGCTTCAGGGAAATGGAACAATCTTGGGTTCCACATCCAGGGGCCCTTGGAGCCATGAGGATGGACTTGAGACCTATAGTCTGTGTCCTGGGCAGGTCATGGGGATCAGAGAGCTCAGCACTACCTCTGGACATGCTCTTCCTCATCCTCTCTCCTCCCCCAGCTCCCTGTTCATGCTGAGTTTCTACCTGACCTGTTTCTTGCTGCTGACCTTGGTGATGTTTGTGTCCATGATCTACTCCTGCGTGAAGGTGAGTCCCCCTGACCTGAGCCAGCCAGCCTCACCGTAGAGGCCACTCCGAGGACTTGAGCATCATGCTTAGCCCAGGCAGGGAGGTTTGGGGTTGTATGAGGCTGGGTCACACCTTTTTTGATCGGTATTGGCAGCAAGCCTTGTTCCCATCAGTCACATTGGTCAGTCCGGGTAAACCTACAATAAGAAGATGCTGGCATCTATCCCTCAGGTATCAGGTGGGACAATGGGAGTGCCAGAGCCTGGCACAGCACAGTAGTCAGGGAACATCTGCTGAACGCCAGTGTGGAGGAGGCCTCTCATGGTCTCCAGTGGCCCCCAAAATTCTGGAGGGAAACTCAGCGATTAGGGATTGGGGACCATCACACAGATAAGAAAGGTGGCCCTCGAAAGGCCCAGAGTTTCAGAGCCACTAGGTAACATCTAGCTCAGGCTGGCAGCAGGTGTCCAGGACCAGGAACCTGGCTCCTGTTTTATCTTGTTTCTCTCGCTTCTCTTGAGTATGCTGTGTCCCCAGTCCTGGCTCTGTCTCTTGATGGGACTTGCTCCAAGGCCATTTTGTCTTTCGTAGATAACTCTCAGGCTCCCATCTTCCTCATCCACCAAGCCTTTCCCTTGCTTCCTTCACCAGGTGGTCAAGGACTTTCTCTCCAGCCTCCAAACAAAGCCCTTCATGAGTCTTGTAAATGATTAGATACCTCATGGTCAAGGTCTTGGTGAACTGGTGGTCATGTCTGGGAGGGATCTTAGAAATCATGTGGTCTGGCTCAGGCTGACCGGGGCAGGTACATAGGTGGATGCTCAGAGAAGGGCAAGGTCAAGCCTCTGAGAAAAATGGCAACTTGCTTCCAAGGTCACAGGGAGAGGCTTGGTCCCTGTTCCTGCACAGATACTTCAGGGTCATGGGCCTAATGTTCTATGCTCAGTCACCGATCCTTTGGTCTTGCTGAGGTGTTGTTTTTGTTGGGTTTTATTTATTTGTTTGTTGAAATAAGGTTTCATTTCATGATGTAGCAAGGCTGGCCTCACATTCTCTATCTTCCTGCTTCAGCCTCCGGAGTGCTGGTATTACAGGCATGAGCCATCATGTCCAGCATGTTCTGGCTATTCTTAAGGTCGCCAGCCTGTTTTTTTTTTTTTCTAGCAGACAGTTCACTTTTTATAGCTATAAAAGGAGATTGGATAGTTAGAACAGCTCTTTTAAAATGCAGATGCTAGGCTGGGAGAGATAGCTCAGTAGTAGAGACTTACCTAGCATGCATAAGGTCCTAGATTCATTACCAACACTGGAAAGGGGAGAAAAAAGAAACTATCTTCCTAACTAACTTTTCTGTTGCATTTAACAGCTGACAAACCACTTTCAAACATCATCTCATTATCGAGTCTTAGGATGCACTTTGGGAAATAGACATCTCCTATTTATTCGTAAGGTCATAGAAGCAGTTACTAATGTCCATAGCATTACACAACTAATAAGAGGCTGGACAGGGCTTTTTTAAAAATAATAAACTCTGCTGGGCTCTGGAGGCTCACACCTGTAATGCTCGCTGCTTAGGAGGCTGAGATAGAGATGATTTCTGTTTAAGGCAAGCCTGGGGAAAAAGTTCACAAGACTCCATCTCAGCAGAGTGAGGCTGGATGCAGATGTGGTGATGCATCCATCTGTTGTCCAGCAACTATGGGAAGCCTAAGGTAGGTGGTGCACAGACCAGGCATATGCCCATTTGGGGAATCAAGGCCCTATCCTAAAAATAACCAGCAAGAATCAGGGCTGGAGGTATGCTCAGCCTGGCAAGAGCAAGGCCCTGAGTTCAAATTTTGGTACTGCTCCCCCACCCCCCAAAAAAAGGATTATAAAGGATAAATAAAGATAAAAGCTTTATTGAGATTAAAAACCATATATTGTAAAATTCACCTTTATAAATGTAGATGACCTTGTAACTCTCAGGTCTTCAATGTATTCACAAATTTGTACAATTATCACTACTGTCTAATTCTAGAATATTGTCATCATTCTTAAAGAAAGTCCATATTGGGACTGGGAAGGTGGCTCAGTGGTAGAGCACTTGCCTTGCATGCCTGAGGCCCTGGGTTCGATTCCTTAGCACCACATAAGCAAAAAGAAAAAAGCCGGAAGTGGTGCTGTGGCTCAAGTGGTAGAGCGCTAGCCTTGAGCTGAAAAGCTGAGGGACAGTGCCCAAGCCCAGAGTTCAGGCCCCATGACTGGACCCAAAAAAAAAGAAAAAAAGAAAAGAAAGTCCATATTCATTGACAGTCTATCCTTATTTTCTGCTTGTCTCAACCCCTGGTAACCTTAATCTACTTGGTCTGTATGAATTAGCATGCCCTCAACAGTTTATATAAATGGAATCATACCATATGTGGCCTTTTTAAGACAGTTTTTTTTTCCTCCTAGCATAATAGTTTCAAGATTCATCCAAATTGTAGCATATAATAGCACTTGATTCCTTTCCATGGCTCAATACTATTCCATTGTGTGTCTGTATGACATTTTGCTTATCCCTTTATCAATTGAAAGGCATTTGAGCATTTTCCATTTCAACTTAGTGTGAATAATGCTGCCATGAGCATCATACAAGTAACCTGCTTTTGATTATTTTGAGTATATACTGGGTAGAATTGCTATATTTTCTGGTAATTCTGTGCTTAAGTTCTTATGTCATGATATTATCTTCCACAGCAGTAAACTTATTTTACATTCCCACCAGCAGTTCACAAGGGTTATAATGTCTCCTCATCCTTACAAATATTTTGCTTTCATGAAATTGTTATTTGCTGCACAGAATTTTTTATTTTGATGATGTTCACTTCATAGTTTTTCTTTTCTTACCCATGCTTCTGAAGTCATCTCTAAGAAATCATTGCCCAATCCATACTCACAAAGATCTACTTGTGTATTTTCGTCTAAATGTTCACAGTTCTATTTAGCATTTACATTTGAATCTCTGATCCATTTGGAGTTAATTTTTGTCTATGGTGTGAGGTTGGGACTCAACTTTGTTCTTTTTCATGAAGATTTCCTTTTGCTTTAGCACCATTTGTTGAAAAGATGATTCCCCCCCGCCCACTGTCAAATTGTCAATGGTACCCTTGTCAAGAATCTTATCAGCTTCTGGACTCTTTCTCCAGCTTATCTCTATGTCTGTTAGTCAAGAGTTTAATGTAAGCTTAGATTTGAAAAATCACAACCATCCTTCCTCCTGCCACAAAAGAAGGTTCAAGAAGGATGTCTCATTATCCCAAAGGGATACCTCAAGATAACCCTCCTGACCAGCAGCAGAGTGTCAGCAGTGATTAGTGGTGTGAGGCTGGAACCTCCTAGGCCCAGAGGAGTTCAGGAAGGCCTTTGGAGCTGAGCTGGAGAAGAGCAGCTCCAAGGAGCTCCTCTATAGCCCTCTGTGAGATCTTCACTTAACACTGTTCCATCTCTGTCTTCTCCTCCCTCCCCCTTCCCAGCTCTTCCCCACCCCACTGCAGACCCTCTCCAGGAAGATCGTACGCTCCAAGATGAACAGCACCCTGGTTGGCGTATTCACCATCACTCTTGTGTTCCTTTCAGCTTTTGTCAACATGGTGGGTAGCTCCATGTCCTCACCAGTTATATCTCAATAAACTCTGCAGCCAACACACCCTGGCTGGGAGGGTGCTTTCCTGGAAAGTCCTTTTCATGTTCCACCTCATATTTGGGATCAATTGTGACTCTTAAATTATTATCTCATGAGAGCTTGTTTGTTAGTGCACATAGTGGGACTCACACTCAAGACCTCAGGCTCTTACTGGCTTTTTCAGTCAAGGCTGATACTCTACCATTCTGCTTCCATTTCTGGATTTTTGCTGGTTAATTGGGGTCTCGTAGACTTTTCTGTCCTGGCTGGCTTTGAGCTGAGATCATCAGACCTCAGCCTCCTGAGTAGCTTGGATTACAGGCTTGAGACCTACACTGCTGAGCTTCTGGAGAGCTTTTACTTCCCCACTCTCAAGGCTGAGAGAACACAGGGAGATAGCCAAGGTAGTCCCATCTCAGGGATGAAAGGCACATCCCACGCCCAGACCCCATCCAGTGTGCTAGCAAGCTGTGCCCATCCTCAGACTCTTCCTCTTTTGTTCCTGGTACATGTGCAGTTGCACTGAGTCAGAAGGCATCCTGGCATCCACCTGCTGCCCTGTGGGGTGGGCAGCCCTGGCCTGGCCCCCAGGGGCTGACATCAGCCCTTGTGCCTTCTTCCCTGCCGCAGTTCATGTGTAACTCCAAGGACCTGGTGGGCTGCCTGGCCCAGGAGCACAACATCACCAAGAGTCAGGTCAACGCATGCCATGTGGTGGAGTCGGTCTTCAACTACAGCCTGGGTGATGAGCAGGGCTTCTGTAGGAGCCGCTGGCCCAACTGCAATTTTCCCGAGGTACGTGGGGCGGGGAGGGGGGAGGGGGAGGAGGGCATTCAGGGCTGGGACAGGAGTGGAGGCAGGCCCTCCTGCCCTTCCCACCCTGCCCAGCTGCTCAGCAAAGTCAGGGCCACCAGTTCAGTGTGGGCTAGAGACATCCCCCCCCCTGGCCCCCAGCCTGTGTCACACCTCATGTAGAGCCCAGGGACCACCTCCTCAGCCTCACTGTAACAATGACAGCAATGTCGCTCTGGGTTGTGTGGTGCTTACCAAGGCCCAGATGCACTGCTGCATCCATTCAGCAAGGCTCATGACAACCCAATGACTGCGGTTGTACTTTGTTCCTTTATGGAGCTAAAGCACCTATCCCCCAGGTTAGTAACTTGCCTGAAGTTGCACAGCTGGTAAGCCATAGAGCTCCAGGGGTTCACTCTCCTCCATGGAGAGCCACACTTCTAGACTCCTGACTCAGGGAAGGCCACCTGAGCCCCTGCCGCAGGGCTGGTGAGCAGAGAGGAGAACAGAAGAAACCCAGTCCCCAGCCAGAACTACTATAAACCGCGCCTGTTCCCCAGCCCCTGGTTTTCAGTGTGTTAACCAGTTCATATGGCCATCCTCTTCTAGAACACTGCAAGGATTTTTTTTTCTTTTTTGGTTGTACTGGGGTTTAAACTCAGCACCTTGTGTTTCTTAGGCAAGTACTCAGCCATTTGAGCCAGGCTTCCATCCTTATTTTTTTTCTTTAGATTATATTTTAAGTAGGATCTTGAATTTTTGCCCCAACTGTCCTGGACTGTGATTCTCCTGTCTATGGCCTCCCACCTAGGTGGAATGATGGGCATGTGCCGCCATACCCAGCCTGTTTGTGGAGAGGGCATCTCATTAACTTCTTGCTTGGGCTTCCCTTGAGCTGATCTCCCTCTGTGTGGGTGGGATTGCAGATGTGAACCGCTACCCCTGGCTCCCAAAAGAAATTTTGTATCTACAGGCATCTAGATTCAAAAAGCAATGCCACACTGTACTCCTTTGTACAACTACTTAACAACAACAACAATAATAAACGCAATGCCAAGAATCCTTGTTGAGAATGGCACAAGCACCACCTATAATACCAGCAGCTAGGTGAGGCTTCTAGCTGTCATCCACCATGACATTCAGTGCTCCCGCCTCCTCTCCACAAGGTGCTCACTCGAGCCCTGAGTGGTGATGGCCCTTCTGCCCTTGTCTGGGTCTGGTTCCCTGAGGACCCCTGACTCACTGCACAGCTCAGAACTGAAGGGAGGGATGCTGGAAGCCGTCACGTCACTGGCCTCCCTTCCTCACCCTGAGAAGGAACTCGGCCATTTCACTGCTGTGTGGACAAAGCCAGGAAAGCCCAGAGGCAGGACTCAGCTACATCCACCCAGACAGGCGCTCCTCCCTCTCTGCAGCCGTGCAGCAGGGCAGTCATGCAGCCAGCTTCCTCTGGCTTCCCATTTTTCCAGCTGTGGACTCGGAGCTGCAGATCAGAGCCGGAAGCCTGTGCTTCCCCACAGTTACTGAGAGGACCAGGCACAGTGCCAAGAGCTTCGCCTCGTGTAATGGGTGCAGGGAGCTCCCGAGATAGGAAGCTTTGCCTATGAAGAAGCTGGGCTCAGAGAAATTGATTAATCAGTCTGAGGTCATAGTCAGACTGTAGTGGATCAGGAGTGGACAGATCATTCTGGCCTGGAACCCTGCTTTCACATGACTGTGTACCCCCTCACTGGCCCACTGAGGCCCAGCAGAAGCATTCCCAAACCACCCTTCACCTAGGGTCAGCTTCCACTGGAGGCTGGGGTGGGTGGGGCTGGGACTGTGGGGCAGGGCAGGGTTGGAGAGTTGATGCATGGACCGCCCTCTCTCCTCAGTACTTCACCTACAGCGTGCTGCTTACCCTGCTGGCCTGCTCCGTGTTCCTGCAGATCAGCTGCATCGGGAAGCTGGTGCTCATGCTGGCCATAGAGCTCATCTACGTGCTTGTCGTAGAGGTCCCCGGTGTCACACTCTTCGACAATGCTGACCTGCTGGTTACCGCCAATGCCATGTAGGTGGTCCCTCCCAAACCCAACCCTGAGCCTGGGCACTGCAGGCAAGCAGGGAGAGCAGGGGCCTGACGTCCTGGAGTCCTGGTTGCGCAGTACAACTTTAAGGGAAGCGTCTTGCTTCTCCTCTGCCCTGGCTACCTGAGGCAGAGCAGGACAGGGTCTTGTCCTTCCCCCTTTTCTCATTCCCACGCTGAGACAACCAGCACCCCTGCCTTCCTGCCTTCGGCTGGCTACAGGCCTCAGTGAATTGTTCCCCACTTTTCAGGGGCAGCTTCTGCCAGGCTGAGGACAGGAAGGGATCATCCATCTATCCATTTGATCATGAATTCAGTTACTTATGGAGGGCCTACCATATGCAAGCACTGAGTGCTGAGGAATAAATAAATAACCCAACAGAATGTTGGTAGTTGTGGGGACAGGTAACCAAAAGAGGGAGGAAGAGAGGAAAGGGGAAGGAGGAGAGGAAGGCTTAGGCCCTTTCTACACATGGATCCAGTCTGGGGCCAGAATCCCAGCCTCTCTTTCCTGCCTCTCCTCCTTCCCCTCCCACTACTGAGGACAGTAGTGGAGTCAAGGGCAGTGCTGTGTGTGAGTGAAGGGCAGTGTTGCTCAGTAGACAAAATATGTAAGCCATATGTGTACTTTAAAATCGTCTAGCAGCTATCATTAAAAAGGCAGAAGGTGTGATTTGGGATTGAGCCATGTACAAGTTAGGCAAGTGCTCTACTGTGGAGCTCCGTTCTCAGCCCCAACGTGCAATTTTAATAATATTTATTCATCCAAAATATGATCATTTAAACATAATCAATTAAAAATTAGTATACTTCATCTTTTTCTACACTGTCCGCAACCTGGTGCATTTACACACAGTGCACCTTTTAACTTGCACTAGCCATGCTTCAAGGCTCAGTAGCCATCTGTGGCCAGCAGCTCACATGTCCCATGGGACAGTGCGGGTGTCAGGTTCCACTGGACAGCAGCTCAGGGATGGGGGAAAGATGGACAAGTATCCACCCACATGAGTGAAAAGTGAGGACAGCTGGACAGACAGGGTCCAGGTAAGAGCTGGGTGAGTATAGTCAAGATGAGCAAATGCTAGCTTGCTACATTCCCTGTTGAGAATGTGTTTAGATACCGATGCTGGTGGGCGCTGGATGGCAGGGCCCAGAGCGACAGTAGTAAGGGCTGCAGAGCGAGGCATGGGGGTGAGTGGGCTTGGTGGATGATTTACACACAAAAAAGTGGCCTCAACAATCTTCCCCCAACCTGTATTCACAGAGACTCTAGCAACAACAACGGGACCTCCCAGTGGTGAGTGAACACTCCTTCTTTGACCGGGCCCCTCCCTGCCCTTGGCACAGAAGGGACAGAGAAGGCCACTGCTGTCTGGGTGGGGAGGGGCTTTGGGACTAGGTGGGACAGGGAAAGAAGAGGCTGAGGAGGAGGATCTCCCCTGCCAGGGTGATCTGTAGACTCAATAGGACCTCAGACCCATCTCCAGAGCTACTGTAGACACACTTATGAAGAACCTTTGTCAGTGTTCAGAGGACTTTAAGCCAGTTGGGGAAAGCCTCCTGCTTGTCCAGTATCTCACTGGCATCCTGTATTCAGTAACCCAACCCTTGTCATTATCTGGAAACTGAGGGTTTTGTCCCATTGTACAGATAAGGAAACCTAAGTGCAGAGTGGTAAACAGACTTGTCCGAGGTTGTCCAGAGATGGGAGTGGTGTAGCCTGCTGGCTACCCTTTTTCTGCACTCATCCACTGAGAAAGACCTGGGGTATACAGAACTGGCTTCATCTCTCCAGCGGATCAGAGGGGAACACTGAGTTGTGGGGGGAGGGCACCAAGAGAGGCGTAGTGGCTGTGAAGCTACAGGAGGGCTTCCTAGAGGAGGCAACACCTCAGGCAACTTGAGCAGGAAGCAGAGGAAGAGGAAGAACTATATACAGTATAAAATAAAAAAGGAGAAAGGGCCTGGGGCAGGAGCCTAGAGCCTGCTGTAAGGTACCTGGTGGACTCAGGTTGTGAACTTCGCCCCACAGCCCTGAGCATGCAACCAAGGTGGCGCTGAAGGTGGTGACGCCCATCATCATCTCAGTGTTCGTGCTGGCCCTGTACCTGCACGCTCAGCAGGTGGAGTCCACTGCCCGCCTAGACTTCCTCTGGAAACTGCAGGTGAGTGGCTCTGGGCGGCAGCCAGGCAGGCAGGTACCCAGGCTTCACGGCCCTTAGGAATGAATGAAGAGTCCAGGGAGCCCGCATGTGGACACTGGCCCAGGCCCTTGTCCTGCACTGACAAACTGTTCTGCTCAGGCCCAGAGGCAAAATCCTGGAGCACCAGATACACCCACTTAGGCTGTGCTAGACCCTAAGGAGCCCAGGTAGACTTTGGGCGCAGCAGTGGCAACTAGCATTTCTACGTGTGTCCACAGGCAGATACAGATAGGCATGGCAGTCCTAGTTGGTGGTGGGCAGTAAGCAGTGTCAAGGAAGAGTAGCAGGAGAGTGGTAGGGGCTGGCAGGAGAGGCTGTCCAGGGCTTGATGTGACCAGAGTGGGGCCTCCTACAGAGGCGAAAGGACCAAAGAGCACCAAAGGCATAGACAGGAAGCCCAACCAGGTGGCAAGAAGCCAAGGTGGTGGATTTGATCAGTGGCTGAGTGCATGGGGCAGGGCTAGAATGTAGCCAGCACCGACCTGTCTACCTGGAGGAAAGGCAGGGGCTCCCAGCAGCACCATGGCCCCTTCGTTTCTGCTGGACCACCTCAGAGGGCCAGGAGAAGGGTGCAAAGGGCACTCGCAGGAGAAGGCTTCCAGGGGCACTGCCTCAGACCTGCAAGTCTGGCCTCTCTCAGTGCTTGGCCAAAGCCTGGCCTTCTTGCCTATCCAGGCACAGCCCCATCTCCAGACTGTATCAGCTCAGGGCAGCTTACTTAGATGATTTTCAATCCAGAGCCTCTGGTTTCTTTCTGACCTTCTCCATTTGTGCTTACCAATGCCACCCTGGCAGTGAGGAATCTGCCACCCTGTCTTTCTTAGACTGATTCATTTGCACCAGCAGCACGAGTCCTTGAGCCCCCGCACTCCTCCTTCTCTTCCCTACCTTCCCTGTCCCCCTCAGCCTGCTGTTCCCTTGCATGCTGGCCACCATTCTGGTCACTTTGCTTCATCAGCTGTGAGGCCTCTAGAGGGCCTGCAAGGGGAAACACTGGCCCCGGTGCCCTCCACCTCTACCATTAGCCTGTGGCAGCCCCTTTCCCCTGAAGCTGCCCAGCACACTCATGATACTGGCTGGCCCTTCTGTCACCCATGCTTCTCCTGGGCTTTTGGGATCCTGGAGAATAACATCTAGCAAATAGCAACAGGCAGAAAGTTGAAAGCAGGCCTCTGATTCAGAGAGAGATGGTCAGGACACCCCAACAGTCCCTTTGCTGTTGACCTGTGTATGTCCTGTCAGAAGGGTGTGTGCTGTCAGAGGTCAGTCCCATGTTCTTGGCACCAGGAACACAGCCTTCCCCTCAGTGCTCCTTCCCCTGTGACCCTGCGTCCCTTTTCTGCATCCTGCTGGGCAGATTAAAGGAACCAAATTGCTTCATGGCCTCCTTGGGTCCAAGGCGCATGGCCTGAGCAAACAGTGAGAACAGGACAGTCAGCAGGCCTTCCATGGGTCAGCCTGTGAGGAGAAATACAGAATTCCCACTCCAGCCTCCTTACCAAGGCCACATTCCAGAGCCAGGTGCAAGTGGTTCTCATTCATGGAGAAGGATGTGGTCACAAGAGCATAGGTCACCAGGGCTGGAAAGCAGGATGATGCCACTGGATTCCTTTGGCATCTGAGGGTAGCTGGGCTAGGGAAGGCAGGACCCACTGGGGTGCAGGTCATTCCTCAGGAATGGCCCCCCAATCTCAATGGCATACCTCCCTGGCTCCAGAGTCCAGCCAGAGGTAGACAGTATGATCAGGAGATCTTCTTAGCTCAGGGGCAGAGTTTGTGGCTGAGCCACCAAGCTCTCCTCCACAGGCCCCTGGCCCCATAATCCTGGGAAGATGCTAGCTCTTTCCTGTGGACGCCACCACCCCAGGGAGAATCAGGGCTCTGAGGAGCTGTCTTGGCCTCTGGCTGCAGTCCAATGGAAAGCATCTCTCATTAGGAATGTCCCAAGAAGGCCAATTAGATCTTTCCAGTGGCCCTACTAGCGATCCTTTCCCTAACTGTTTCATCAACACAGCCACCCGCAGCCAGGGACCCCTTTGTCTGCCATCAAGGGCAAGGAAGCCAGCGGACTTGCTCTAAGCCTTCGTCCAATGGACACTCTGGTCAGATGATTCTACACCTGGTGCAGAAGTGCTCTCTGCTTTGAACTCATCTGGTGCACTCCTTTGCTCCTGACTGAAGGCTCTGCACTTTTTTTCCTTCACCTGGAGGGTGAATGACCCAGCACCTACACTGGGAGGAGGGAGAAGCAAAAATCAATGGTGATGGCTTCTTCCCACCCTCACTGGCACCTGCTCTGCTGTCTGTTGCCAGTGTCTGTTCTGGAGGGAGCCAGGGATGGGCAGACCTCTGAGCTGATTTCCCGCAGGGTCAGTCAAAGAAGCCTTGGTCAAACTGCTTTTCTGATCACATTTCCTAGCATAAGAAGAAAACAAAAGGCCAAGAGCCCGTCACTAGCCCAAGAGCCCGTCAGTAGCCCAAGAGTCCTTGCAGATATGGGTGTGGACCATTGCTTTCCCCTGCCAGCTACTTCCAGTCTTGAGCAAACACGGTCCTTTCAGCCTCTCCACTCACACTCACATCTCTGCCTCCTTCCAGCCTCAAGCTCTCATGTGTTATTTGGCAAGAAGCAAGCAGGGAGAGTTAGATGCTTGCTAGTTTCGAACCCCCCATTCCTACTGCCACAGTCAAAGCCATGCTCTTTAGACAACACATAAAATAGTGACTGTTTATAGGCAGGGACAGGAGGGGGAAATAGGGAAAGCCAAGGAAGGAGTGACAATGTCCAAAAAAAAAAAGAAATTTACTCATTACCCAACTTATGAAATGGTAACCCCTCTGTACCACACCTTAATAATATCAGTAAAATTATATTTCAAAAATAGGGCTGGGTGCTGGTGGTTCGTCTATAATCATAGCTACTCAGGATGCTGATATCTGAGGATTATGGTTCAAAATCATACTGGAGAAGAAAGTCTGTGGGATTCTTTCTCCTACCAACTACCAAAAAAGCTAGAAGTAGAGCTGTGGCTCTTGTGGTAGTGTGCTAGCTTGGGCACTTTGCTGAAACCTTCTGCTGGCATTAGTATGACTCATACTGTGTGTGTGTGTGTGTATCTTGAATTCATGGCCTGTGTGTGTGTGTGTGTCTGTGTGTGTGTGTGTGTGTCTCTGTGTCTGTGTGTGTGTGTCTGTGTCTGTGTCTTTTGAATTCAGGGCCTGGGTGCTATCCCTGAGCATTTTTTCTTAAGGCTAGTACTCTACCACATGAATCATAACTCCACTTCTCACTTTTTAGTGGTTAATTGGAGATAAGTATCTCATGGACTTTCCTGCCTGGAATGGCTTCAAGCCTCAGTCCTCAGATCTCAGCCACTGGCATGCTGCTTTCAGTAGGACTGCTGCTCAGACCCCTCTTGCCGGTTCCTTTCTCCTCAGGCCACAGAGGAGAAAGAGGAGATGGAGGAGCTGCAGGCCTACAACCGGAGGCTGCTGCACAACATTCTGCCCAAGGACGTGGCCGCCCACTTCCTGGCCCGTGAGAGGCGCAACGATGAGCTCTACTATCAGTCCTGCGAGTGTGTGGCCGTCATGTTCGCTTCCATCGCCAACTTCTCCGAGTTCTATGTGGAGCTTGAAGCCAACAACGAGGGTGTCGAGTGCTTGAGGCTGCTCAATGAGATCATCGCAGACTTTGATGAGGTGCTGGGCAAAGGGAGGCAGTGTGGTGTGGGTGGGGGCGTCCCATGGGTTCCCAGCTCCCCTTCCCTCCACCTTGGTGTTTGCTGATGGCAAAGAACCTGGCAGTCTCCTGGGCATTGTCCTAGGCACCTGGCACTTGGTCTAGAGGAGACCAAATATATCTTACGTGAGGTCACGGCCTGTGAGCGGCACAGCTAGCCTTTTAGTTCAGGCTGTTTAAATTTGAACCTTCATGGTCCCAGGCACGTGGATAGCCCAGTGTCTATGCCCAGGGCTTTGTGAGAGTGAGTAGATGGAGGAGTCTCAAGTGAGAGGAGAAGGCAGGCAGAAATGTTAGGTGGCAGAAACAAGCCATCGCTTCCTTTGCTTCTTGTGTTGAGTAGCCAGTGTGTGCAGACCAGGGCAGTCTGGGTCCTCTATTGAGTGCAAGCAGCACAAGCTCAGTGGAAATACGTATGGGCCATGGGGCACGAGGGGAGCTGGGGATGGTGGAGGTATCCCTCAGATCCCTGAGGCAGCTCAGTGACTGTGGCTGACTAGAAGCAGCTAGGGCACTGCCGGCGGAGCTGTCTCTCTGGACCAAGATGGTGAAGGTTTCTGAGAAGGGGGCCTGCAAGCCACTGAATGGGAAAAAAGCTATCTAGTCCCTGGGGGTGGAGGGAAGGCCTGGTGGTGACCATATCCTCAGGGCTCTTGGTGTGGCGTGGACACATAGGCCACCTGTACAGTAGGTAAAAGTGCAGTTCTACTGTGCCACTGAGCCGAGGCCCAAGTCAGTGCCCCCACTGGGTGAACAGGGGACACAGAAAACCATGCTGCTACAGTTCCCAGAAATCCTCCACCCTTCCCTGCAGACCTCAGTGCCTCAGGCTTGGGGATGACCCAGGTTTGGCCTCCTTCTGTCCAGATCATCAGTGAGGACCGGTTCAAGCAGCTGGAAAAGATCAAGACCATCGGCAGCACTTATATGGCCGCCTCAGGCCTCAACGACTCCACCTATGACAAGGTGGGCAAGACCCACATCAAAGCCCTGGCGGACTTCGCCATGAGGCTGATGGACCAAATGAAGTACATCAACGAGCACTCCTTCAACAACTTCCAGATGAAGATCGGTGAGGGGGCCTTGGGACCGGCGAGGGAGGGCTGGTGTGGGCTCTGCCACCCCCATCCTGCATCTGCTGTTGCCGTTCAGCAGCAGGTGCGGTGACAGCAGAAGGTGATGTGGTAGTGTGTTTTCCTGCCCAGAAACAGAGGGAGCACACAGAGGTCACTCAGCACTGACATTGCCCAGGCGTGTTAGGCTGCAGGTGATACAGACTGACACTTCTGAGTTCCTGCCTTGCCTGTGTGTGTTGGGAAGACTAGGTTGGAAAGGCTTTGTTGGGATGCTCTGTGCTGGTAATTAGAGACTTCTGGTGGCTCTGGGCAGAGGGCACTGCCATTTCCTTGCAACACTGATGTAAATGGTAGTATTGTTTTAGTTAGAAGTATTCGAAGTTCAGGAACAATAAGCAATGGTATATGTATAAACATTTTATCAGTCATTGTATTTACAAAGTTATAAAAAATAATGAACACATCCTCTACAAAATTATTAGCAAAAGAAGAGTAAAGTGAATTTTTTAAAAGCCTAACCATGAGAAGAATCAGGTAATACTGATAAGAAATTGATTATATTTCAACTTTTTAAAGAAAGAGTAGGGCTTGGACATAGCTCAGTGGCAAAGCGCTGTCTAGAAAATGCAACGTCCTGGGTTTGGTCCCCAGTACCAAAAAAGAAAAGACAAAAAATACAGTTTTAAAAAGCCAGAGTAATCTTTAAAAAAAAAGTGCATTGGGAGGTAGTTGTTGGGTTCTAGGTCCTGTGAACTGGGGAGGGGAAGGGAGATGGCAGGATATGACCAGTAGAGCCTGTGAGCTTTTTGCTGCCGTCGCTGCACTCCACCTTTGCCAAATGCCTTGCCCTTTTGGCATGGTTTCAACAGAACTTTGTGGACATGCTGGTGTGTCCAGAGGCAGTGGTGGGGTTCCCGGAGAGGAAGGAGTGAGTTCCAGCAGAGGCCTTGGGTTGCTGTCAAAATAGGGACAGGAAGATTGCTGGAGCCTGGGTGTTTGAGTCAAGCCTGGGGCAACACAGTGAGATCGCCCTCATCTCAAAAAAAAAAAAACAAAAAAAGTTTTTTTTAAAGCAACAACAAAAATACTTGGACACAGACATAGGTATTATTCTGTTTATGCTTTGTTTTTAATACCAATTTTGACAACTTCAACTCCACAGAGTGGACAGCACAGTAGTGAAAACCCTGAGTGTCCATGTACTTACCTGTACCTTCCATCAGTGATTTTGGAGTCACCACTCTGAACACATTGTGTAAGGTGCAATGTATTTCTGAAGCTCACTTATCTTCTCTTGCCTGACAGAGTACAAGTCATTCTTGTAATGGAAACTTTATCGAGTGTTAGTCTCTCCTCTTGAGGTCTGTGAAGGTAGAAAATACTTTCTGAAAGCAGATCTTTTTCTTCAAGTTTCATGCATTATCAACTTCCTGGGTATATCTCAAGTCTTAAATGATTCAGATTTCAACTATTTTATGGCAGCAGCAATTCACCAAAAAAAATGGCATTTCAGTTCTCAATACCAGCACACTAAACTGAAAAATGCTGAGTTATGAAAAACAAATACTGTGATCATTTATATTAAGAGACATTTTGTTCTGTCAGAAGTTGGGCTGTACTGAACAATCTGCTCGTCTTGTCCTCTGAGCACAGTGCTTTGTGGACCTGACCAAAGTGCTACTTGTCACTGGTACTACAAAGGCCAGGCAAAGACCGTTGGAGTCTGGCTAGAACTGACATGCAGTCTGAGTCTGTGTTAATTTCACCCTTGGGGCCATATAAGGTTGCTTTCTACCCAGCTTATTTTTGTAAACTTCCTTAGCAACTTTATTGGACTTATTTCCAGTCCAATAAAATTGGATAATCTACCAAGATTTAACTAAGGATCCTTGAAAAGCAGACCCATTAATACAGATTTGGGAACATTTTTCAGAATAGCCAGAAGCCATCAGGACTTGGTGTGGCCAGTGAGGTAGACGGTTGTAATAGCACATGGGGTAAAAAGCTGCATATGGTGTGACAGAACTGAGAGAGAGAAGAACTGTGCAGAGAACTGGGGTAGGGACCAATTCCTAAGAAAGAGAATGGCAGAGACCCACAGGAGTGATTAAGACAACAGGAGTGAATTCTGTATGTAGAGTCTGAGTTAATTTTACAGGTACCAAGAGGGAAGATTAAGAAAAGGCAATTGGGTTATGCAGGAAGCCACCAGAGGCCTTGAAGACAGCATGCATGGCAATGGACTTGCAAGGGCTGAGCATGGGTGGGTTAACCACCCATGTGCAGGAGTGATGGAGGGTATACCAGGTCCCTTGTCTCAATTAGCAAGGCCCCTGGTTATCTTCTAGTAAGGGGTCAGAGAACCTAGATTGTGCAGAAGTGATGCTAACAAGGATGAGCCCCACAAGCATCTCCGTTAACCTGATGAGTGTGGCTGACTTGTGTCCCCACAGGACTCAATATTGGCCCTGTAGTGGCCGGGGTGATTGGGGCTCGCAAGCCTCAGTATGACATCTGGGGTAATACGGTGAATGTGGCCAGCCGCATGGACAGCACTGGTGTGCCTGACCGCATCCAGGTGAGTACACGAGGGGTCTTCATGGCAGACCACTCATAATTCCCAGTCAGAATCCCTCTCAAAATCCAAGGGTCATGGAAAAATTGGCACTAGTTCTGGAAGCTTGGAGAACTCAATTGTTTGCAGCTCTCAGTACCTTGGACAGATCTTTACAGGGTCTATGCAGAGCCCTCTGCTGGGCACAGAAGGAACTGGGTAGGTGAAGGTAGGCAGTGCTGCTACTGGCATGCTAAGGCTGCTGTAGGGAGCCATGGCCCCCCAGGTCTAGACACATAGGACTTAAGACACCTGCACAGAGTAGCTCACAGTTCTCTGGGCCTGGTGCATGAATGCTCTACCCTCATCCATCAGGCCCAGCTGTCAAGGGATCAGCCAGAGGCCCAGACCCTTCGTTTCCTCCCTCCATCCCTGCAAACTGGTGTTGGGATTCCCAAGCCTGTAGCTCTCCAGCAGCTCTTCTTCACTTTCCTCAGGACAACTTGTTCTAGTCTGACCCAAAGGCCCTTCTATTTTTTTTTATTGAGATTAAGTGATTACATAAATTTCACAGTATTGTGGGATAGTGATACTTAGTTAAAGTCACAAACACATTTTAACCTTCATGAGGTGCATTGTCATTATCATGATCTATAAAGCTTTATGGTCTCCACAAACTTTGACCCTACAGCTATTTCTTCCAAATCAGGTGATATGTACATTTCTTTCCTCTTGCTTAGTGTAAGCTGTTCCCTCTTTCTCAGAGCTCAGCCTCCTGAGTAGCTAGGATTATAGGTGTGAGTACTGGCACCCAGCTTAATTGTGTAATTTTTAAGGCTTTCTGGTCACATTGATACTGCTGAAATAAATTACAGGACCTCCAAGCACAGCCCTGGTCATGTGGACCAGTTTGTGGATGCTGTATGAGGTGCCAGGAGACACGGCCTATTCCTACCTCCACTCCTGTGCTAGGGAAAGGCTGGGGTCCTGAGAGCAGTGGCATGCAGAGCACCACCAACAGCCAGCCTGGTACCATAGCACCAGCTGCACTAGGACCTCTTCATGCAGAAAGCCTAGCTCATAACAAAGCAGTCATCTTAGCAGCCCACCCATCACACCTACTTAGTTCCTGGTTCATGACAGCCAGTCTGGGAAGCTGTGCATAGTTATAGCTGGCAGTCCTTGTGTCAGGAGAGTGTCCGCAGCATCCTATGAGGCATTGGTCACCTGGCTTCCCTCTGCCCATTACAGCAGTATACCAATAAGGCTCTAGTGAATTTTCTTCTTTGATCCCAAAGCTAAGGCAGAGACATGCACAAGATCTAGAAGAGTCCAGGCTGTGCCACATAAGCAAAGGCAAGTGAGGCCTATTTCCTGGGACGGGGGTGATAATAGTTCTTACCTCTGGAAGACTAAATAAACAGTGGTTCCCAGGTGTTTAAACATCTTTCTGGTCTGTAGTGGTAATGGAGTGATACTTCTATGGAAGACCCTCATTCTGCACTTGCTTATTGGTTGTGACCGACCGCTCTGAAAGCTCCTCTGCTCACATCCCGCACTGGACCCCTCTTTGCCTGTGCACAAGCAGTATGGACACTTGGAGTAGCTCTGAAGTAGTACCTGGGAGGGGCTAAGAACCATAGCTGTTGTTATCCCATGACAAGCCCCTAGCAGTCTCCAGAGCCCCTCAGTGAGGGGCTGCCCCACACCTGTGTTGGGGAGGCAGACAGGTGGTGGGCCTTCAGAGGAACTTCTGCCCCCATAGCAGCTCATAGCCAGGGTCATCCGCGGCTTGTTCTCTCTCTTTTGCCTCCTCAGGTCACCACAGACATGTACCAAGTGCTGGCTGCCAACACGTACCAGCTGGAGTGCCGAGGCGTGGTCAAGGTCAAAGGCAAAGGCGAGATGATGACCTACTTTCTCAATGGAGGGCCCCCCCTCAGTTAGCAGCTGCCAGCCAGTGGTGCCAGCAGCCTGGCCTCCAGAGGGAAGGAAACCGCTTCTTATTGCACCACGTGGGCAGGTGGGGGAGCCAGACCCCAGCCACATAGCCATGCTGGTGAGATTTCCACTTTAACTCAGAAGCAGCCTCTGCCTTTGCTGGTGGGTGTGGCCTCCGGCCAGGGCCCTGGTGCCAGCGTCCTGCGAGCACCAAGCTGACCAAAGATGTTTCTGCAGAAGACTCCGCTAGACTCCAGCTGAAATCTTGAGTTTTCTGACAGGTGCTGCCAATGCATGGTGGAGCGGAGGTGCCGCTGGAGCCTTCACTGGGGAGCTCAGTCTAGTGCACAGTGGCAGGCCTGAGGGAAGGCCTCAGGGTGGGCAGGTGGGCTCAGCGCTAGCCCAGGGACCCTGAGAGTCTGCTTTTCCACGTGAGCCTTTAACTGTCAGACAAGGCTGCACCCTGGTTCCTGGCGGTGCTTTGGGGCAGGAGTGCTGGCTCTGGAGGGCATGGCCTTCGCTGTCCTCTGCCCACATCTCCTCGCACACAGTGCCCTGTGAAGGGAATAGGACTGATCATGAAAGGGAGGCAAGAGGAGAGCAGGTAGGGAGCAGTGGCTCTGAGAAAAAGAAAATATTTATTAGGTAAAACAAGTTTTCTGTGCCCTTCTTTAGACTATGCTAGTTGTATGCGTGTAAGAGACACACAAGCAAATGAAGACGTCACTGGGGAGGGAGGGTGGGAACCCCTACTTGTCTTTTTGTATTTTTTATTTTGTATTATTGAAAACCTTGGAGATCTAACAGATACACCAAAATCTATATTTTGTAAATTCTCTATATTAGAAAACAGCTGTGCACAGCGGGGCGTTTGTGCTCATTTGTACTGTACGGATGTCAGCGTGTGTTCTGGTGTGTGTCTGTGTGTTCGGGCTGTGGAACTGGTCTCCTGCAGCATATGTTCTCATCTCAGACTTGGCATTTTGGGGTTTCCCCAGGTACCCTTTTGGGGTATCATACATTCAGATTAAGTAGGAAAATACAGTGGCACATTACCCCATCTCTAATAAACACATACACACACATTCCAGTTACCCTGAGTTAGTGCAGGTGCAGTGAGAGGTAGACTGAGCTTCTTTCCCATCCCCACTGACCAGAAAGCACCTCAGCCCACACCGGCAGCCAGCCCATCACCATACTCTGTGCGCTGTCAGCATTTACTGCCTCAACAGAGGCAGCCATGGCTGACTGAAGAGCTCAGGAACAGCCATGCCTCCCCTTCGACCCCACCTGAGGGCTCGAAGCCCACCCCATATGATCTACTCAGCTGGATGAGGCTCAGGTCGCCCTCCCTGGAGATGATTGCTGTACAGGCCTTGGGTTTGGGGAAGGAGGCAGCCTGGCCCTTTCAGCTGCAACCCAGAGTGGGTAGAGCCACTACCCGCTCTGATGCGAGGAAATGATGCGAGGAAAAACAATGCAAGGAAAAAGCTCGCATCATTTTGTCTAGTTTCTGATTTGGGGGGATGTGGAGGAAAGCCTTTTATAAAAAATAACTTCTGAGGATGCATTTCGGAAATGATATTCTATGACAGAGGCATAAACAGCATTCTTAGGGTCTAGGCCCAGGTATTTTCCTTGCTTCTCAGGGCAGAATTATTCTCCCCTCCAATAGGAGCTTGAAGGTGAAGTGGCATCTGTATGCCAGCTGCTGAAGTGTTACTTTGATGTCTATCTGCACCACCCTACCCCATACTGTATTCCCACCCCAGTATGAACAGCTCTGAGGTAGTGTATGGATCCCAATCTGCCAAGCCTGAATGTGTCCTGTGCTTTTGCTGCTCTACCCTTTTGAGTTCTGTGTTGCCCTCACCTCTGGTTCAGGGACTGCTTTCTTCCACCGTGTTGTTCTCAGTTCCTGCCCTCCATACGCCCACCAGTGTGGTGGGGTTTCCTTTTGCTTCCAGTCTGAGTACAGTGTGTGTGCTGAGTTCATGCCATGTCCCCGTATTGGTCACAGCCTCATGAGGCCCCTCCCCACCCCAGCAGTGACTGGTGACAGTGTGCAGTGCTAGCTCTTTGTTCCCTCTAAGGGGTGTGCACTCTTTTTATTCCTGCTCTTGCAAAAACGGATACGATTATGATTTCCCATGGAAATTGAAAAGTCTATTTAAATAATTTAACTATTAAACACTTTCACTGGTAATGTGTCCTGGGTCTCATTTCTAGTTTGGGCCAGAGCCCAAGTTTTAAAACAAGGTGCACTAAAAGAAAGGCAAAACCACCATAGTAGAACACAGGCGAGTGAGAAGACCCAAGAGGCTGGGAAGGGATAGGCTGCCCACCTTCATGGCTAATGCTAGCTGTATGCCACACTGGGCTAGTACCAAACAAACATCCTCATGGCCACATTTCACTGATGAGGAAACAGACACAGACAGCTTGCACTATTTGCCTAAGGCCACATAACTGGCAATTAACACAAGATGTTTCAGAGCAGGTCTATCTGCTGGTGAAGCCCATGCCAGCGATCTCTTTCAACAGTTCCTGTCTGCTGTGTCCATCACATTCAGGCTTATAGTTGGGTTCAGAAATGAGGGGCTTGGGCAGATTTAAGTTTAATGTGGATATAAATGAAGGATTGTGGACCTGAACTCTGGGCATGGGTGCTGTCCCTTAGCTCTTCAGCTCAAGGCTAGCACTCTACCACTTGAGCCACAGCGCCACTTCTGGCTTTTTCTGCTAAGGAATTGAACCCAGGGCCTCATGCATGCAAGGCAAGCACTCCACCACGGAGCCACCTCCCCAGCCCACTCATGAGTCTTAACCATGGGTATACCAGCATTTGCATAGCGGAGCAGGGCTCCATGTGCACACAGGGAAAGAGCTGTTTTATATCTACCCCTAGAAAGCTAATTTATGAAGCTTATTGGGAAAGATGTTAGTGATACATGGGGTCAGTTTTGAACACCATTATGCCTGCTGATAGCAAAAAACAGGTATCAATTAACAGGCAAAGATTGGATTACAGTGTGAAGTTAGCATCAAATTAGGAGCAGGGAGGCACTGGTGTACGGAAGAAGCTGAAGCTAAACACTCACCAAGGAGCCACCATTGCTCTAAGACTTTGATAATGACAAATGCAGTTATAGCTGGACAGCACTAATGCATGCCTGTATCCTAGCTGCACAGGAAGCTGAGGGTGGGAAGTATGAGATGCAAGGTCAGCCCAGGCAGAAAAATCTGCAAGATTCTATCTCCAATAAATCAGCTAAAATAGGGTATAACTGAAGTGGTCTCAAAGCCCTGAGTTCAAACTCCAGTACTGCCAAAACAACAAAAACATTTATATAAACCTTCCCCAAAGCAAACATTGTTAATCAGGAGCTTCTGAGCTTCCCAAAGCCCAACAACGATGTGCAGTTCATGCTGCTGCCAAGGGGGAGTCGCACTGCCCTGGCATAGACAACGATGGCAGGAACAAACACAATTTGAAAATCACAGCTTTTGCCTAGCTCAACACAATACATGGAAGAGAGCAAATAATAGCTCACCTTCAAAACAAAGGGAGCTGGGAAGACTGGGCCATGATGACCATGGCCCTTCCACATGACACCCCAGTCCCCCAGGACAAGTGTCTGGGGAGCTAGAGGGCTGGTGTTGCATGTGGCATTATTTACTCATGGTCCTCTTTTGTTTGGGTGAACCTTACACACAGCATAGAACACTCTCCTTGGCCTCCCCAAGACCTGGAGGCAGTTGAGAGAAGGCTGCTGCATGGATGCTTGGAGATAGGCACTTCTGTTCAGGGTGCCCATTTGGCCATTGGCAGAATGGGGCTCACCACTTCTCAAGGTCCACAGAGTGAAGTGAGATCTAATCACTAAAAGACACGTGTCCTTCCGGATTTCCCAAAAACTCAGGGGTGGGAGGTTCTCCTTCCAGTCTGAGGGAAGGTGATATTTGCTGTCCTATTGTCCATTTTCCCTTCCCACCTACACGATCTGCTTGAGAACTCACAACATGAACACAAGAACAATGCTAAATGAGGGGCACTGCATGGCTGGTCTCCAAGATCTTTCCTACCTCTGGTATTCTCTGATCCTAAATACTCGTATAATTCTTTTTACAGTCTTCACCACATTCATGGTACAAACCTAATCAGAGATCTGAGATTTTAGAGCCAAATGCAGAGCCCAATGCACAAATATCTGGACAAGGGGATCTATAGGACTTTCACCTTCAAGCCAGCCAGAAATTGCCTTGCTTTGTCTAAACAGCATCCAACAGTAGCTGTGCAGTAGCACAGCCAGGGGCTGGGAAGGGTCAGGTAGGAAATCTAGGTTTACAGAGCTACAGCAGGACCAGAGAGACGAGGAGAGAACAATATAGGGAAGGAACAGTGTTCCTTCAGGTTTGAGTTCAGGAGGCAGCTTCCCATTCCCACTGGATTCCCAGCCCCACACGTTAGCTGCCTGTGTTGCTAGTGAGCAGAGCAGAGCCACCCCTGCACATGGTAAGAGCACCTCATCCCCAGCACCTTTCATAGTGCTTGTCTATTAGGCCCATGAATTTACAGAATCTTCTCTGGAGTCCATTAGAACACAATCAGTTTCAAAATCGGCCAATTTCTAATTTAGACCTGGCTGAAATCTTACATGTGTCAGCATTTCTGGATAATCACTTTTTTCTAGTTTTGCAAAATTCGCTTCTCCACTGTTGCTCAGCCACAGTGGCACTCCTTCCTGGCTCATGTGACTTTTGTCCCCTTAGAGGAGTGCATCTTATTTCTGGTTAATCCTTTTATAGCCATGCTCCATTTGTGCTGTTTAAGGCTGTCTTTTCCCTCACCTCCATAGTATTGTAGTTTGGAAGTTGAAGCTGGCTGCCCACTTACCCCTCACCTCTATTGATGCACATACTTAACAGCGACCTTGACAGAGTGGTAGCTTCAGGGCAGCTGCCATTCAAGACTGATTGGTAGTTCCGAATAGTGTATTCAGAGTCAAGCATTTTGGAGCTATGATGCTAGTACCTTACTAGACAGGGCGAGATTCCCAGAGGTACCTCTGTCATTGTCTTAACATTCCAGTGTCTTGGGACCGTGGAGAACAGGAAGACATAGCCTATTTCTTTCAGGTATGTGACATTGGATGACTGCATCCTGTATCCTTAGAAGGACCAGGTTAAAGTGCAGAACATTCTGTACCTTCTGCACCTGGCATACAGCAAGCATTCGGCATACAGGAGGCA